AAACGCAGCTTTTTGAATATGTGCTTTTTCAGCCTTAGATTTTTTAAAGATCCTACTCGACTATTATCTCCATGTTTAATACGACTATTATCGCCACGTTTAAAAAGGAAATCCCTCAAGAATTGTACATATATTATCATTGTTTATAATGCTTATATTCAAATAGGCTATTTGTAACATACTTACCGTGTTTATTAACATATTTCATATACAAATTACCTATGTATTTATAAAAATTAAATCTCGTCGAAAGTGTTGACGTGTGTATACTGGATGTTTTCTACAAGTTGCTCATATAAAAAATAATTGTTTGTTGCTGTCTATTATGGGTTTATATTTGATGAATGTTTTTGTCTATTTTTGTGCCATTATTTACTCGTCCGAGACCAAAAAAATATTTGATTCATCAACAAAAATAAGGTAAGACTCAAATAATCAGTTATTTTTTTTCAGAATTTATGATAGTTTGTATAGAATTATTGAAATACCTTTGTCGTGTTATTTGAATGCATCATACAATACATTAACTGAGATTAAAGATTTATCTATAAATCAGCACAAATAAGGTAGGTTTTAATAATACGTAAAATTTATTGAAATTTCGATTGTGCCAATGATGATAAAAAATTTCAAGGGGTATATGAATTTCATAATCTAAAAAGATGGCGAATTTTACATTTATTTTAATGCTTTTAAAATATATATTCTCTTAGATTGTTTTTCCGTTTTGTGATAGTTTTTACAGGTTATTAAATATCTTAATTTGTCGTGTTATTTCATTGTATCATACAATATATTAACTGAGATTTTAAAGTCATTTATAAATCAAAAATACATATTAGGTAGGTTTTAATAATAAGTTAGATTTATATCTTGGGACCATAATGATTTAATTTAATGGTTTTGAGTAATATGAATACATTTATTTATAAAGCTTGATGACTTTTCTGTCGACTGTTTTTCAGTTGTTACGATGATTTTGGAGTACTACTGATTTATCCTTGTGTTGTGCTTTAAATGTATCATTTTAGCCGGGCCCCTCTACTCCAAAACAAATTTAAAGGTAAAATGTCGTCCATTTATCGTCCTGAATATCAATCAAATATTTGCCGCCGGACGCTAAACAAACTACACTCGATCGATCGATCGATCTATAGATTGTTTGGTTGTTGCTTGCTTATGGTGGTACCAAACACCTCGACTAAAATTAATTTGGCTCGTTTAATTTTTCATAAAATTTTGACTCAATATTTACTTTGACCCTTTGACAAAAATATAAAAAATTCATACAGTTAGCGGTTCGTTTCGACTAATGGTATATAACCACCAATCCGGGCCTTGTCAGTAAGAATACAAAGAACAGTGCATATTTCACACAAAATAGCTCTAACGCATAGCATGCATAACTTTTACTTTCTATAATAGTCAAACTATTTATGAAATTGTGGTATGAAAAGAAACCTTAAGGACTTCGTATCACTATTGCACACTTATTGGTTTTATACTAAATATTAAAATGTTATTTGTACGGATGTTTTATATCATTTTGTTAAGACATCCAATAAAAAAATAGGTTAAATGATTGACTGTTCAATGATAGATAATCTAGTAACTTAACAAATATAAACATTACTGTGCGACCCGACCAGGCTTCATCACAACATCTTACACCTTTAGCAGCTTACTGCTGGATTCTCTGATAGACGGACCCGACCAGGCTTCATCACAAAATCTTGCACCTTTAGCAGCTTACTGCTGGATTCTCTGATAGAAAAAAAAAGCAGAAGGTACCAAAAGAATAATTAAAAAAAATCCTAACTCGAATAAAATCAGACAACATCAGGACTTAAAGAAAAACGACGAATAGAGAAACGAGTCTACAACACACAACAGGGAGGAAACTAAAGACTGGGCAACGCGGACCTCACCAAAAACCTTGTATTACCTCATATGCTCCGAAGGATAAGATGATCCTGCTCAACTAGTGGCATCCGTCGTGAATAGATGTCGATAACACTTCACATGTGCATTGACTCACAATTTCAGAGTAATATGTTATGGATAATGCATATTTCAAGGTTTTTCTTGTCGTATAACACAGGGGTGTCGGGAAGTCTTTCTTTTGGCAATCCTGACAACTCAAGGTGAGTTGTACGACAAGAAAATCATAAAATATGCTTTGTCTGACATATATTTTGTCAGTAAATATTGTTTTCTGCAAAGATTTGCAGGAAATTGTATCCCACTTTACCGATAATATTAACTGTTAAAGTGGGAGATTTTTTTCTCATTCGTTTACTAGGTATAACCTTACACATGTTATTATTTTATGCCTTGAATCGTATTTCATTGAAACATGGTGTCGTCCAGGTTGTTTCGTCAAAAAAAATACCTATCGTTCTGAAAGGAAATAACTCCATTGTTTATACGAGGTATATAATAATTTAATATAAGACTATAACAACCAATGAAAAATTACAAATACTGTCATAATTTGCCCGACAATGCCAATGTAAACAATTCAAATATTCAGATGACCAGCCTGAACGTGTTCGGTTTTAATCACAGCATGCAAGTATACAATCTTTTATGTGAGTGGAATGTGTTTCAGGTGGTATAAACAAGTGTCTGAAATTGCAAACATAATGACAAAGTGCATCATGGATCATGAAACAAATCGGCAAAACCACGGAAGAACAGTAGATATACAGCATCCTAAATATGGTAGAGTTACTAAATCAGAACGGAAAGCACATGGTTTTAGCACTGAACACATTATATACCCTATAGCTGATACTAAGAAAGTCATCATATCGGAAGGTTTGTATTGTTGGAAAACAAATATATATTATTTGGGAAGAACATCATTAAAGAACAATAGTATTCCGTATACCTGCTATCATCTCCAGGGGGTGGATCCAGAATTTTCGAAAGTGGGAGGGAAAGTAATTCCCAATAATTGAATATAAGCTGGGGAGTACGCCTTCTACAACCCAATGGATCCGCCACAGATCCCGTCTGTGCAGTTTTCTTGTCCTGGAACTTGTCTTAGTTCCACATTGACAATATTATTTCATCTTACCATATTTTTTGTAATATTTATTCACAATGTCTACTTTTATTTGATTTTCGTAAAGACTGTTTATACAAGGTGTAAAACAATAACAACCTGTGCCAAAATGTGGTTGATAGGTTTGATGTTTTGTAGAAGCCGTCAAATTTTGTCCTTTTATACTCTCTCGTGCATGTACGACACATTAAAAAAATAAAAAGATGTGGTATGAATACCAATGAGACAACTCTTCACCACCAAAAGTAGAATCTATAGGTCACCGTACGGCCTTTAACAATGAGCAAAACACATACCGCATAGCAAGCTATAAAAGGTCCCGACATGACAAATGTAAAACATTTCAAACGAGAAAATTAACGGCCTGATTTATGTACAAAACATTACGAAAAACAAACATAACAAACAACAACAAACAACAACAACTGAATAACAGGCTCCTGACTTTTATATATGTTTTTAAAGACTAAACAATGTACCTGTATGTATTAAATCTATATAACTAAAATCTGTGTACGCTTTTGAAAACATTTTGAGAATATTACCCATAATGCATTAGATTCTAAAACTTTAAATTTCGCGAATGTTTTCTGATAAACATTTCCATCGATACCTAATACATTGTTTATCCTTCCATAAGCACTCATCTTATTGTTGTAAGAGTATGGTAAAATAAAAAACAAAACAAAACACGAATTCCCTACTTTGGAATTGCTTTTGAGTAACGCTAGAATGCAGAAATTTTGAAAACCAAATATTATAAGTTACACAGTTAGCTCGAACCCCATATGAAATTTACTGACCCCATATATATCGTATTAGGTCACAAGCACACTTTGTAACGAATTTATCTTACCGACTATCTTAACATGTGGCATTTAGACTAGTGGCCTATCAAAGTGATCAAGTCTTTAATATAAAGAACCTTCTTCCATTGGTCTATTATACAAAAAACAAATGCCAACAATAACAACGTGTTCGCTTTTAATGTGTTTTATGAATTTATTTCAATCGTTCAACATCAATTTCTTCATCTGTTGTCGTCCGGGTGAAACGTTTCAGATTTTTCCTCAACGCGTGTTGTTTTTATAAAGGGACGTAACATCACTGCTAACCGTGTATTAAAATAAACCACGCCTACTAATATAAAAATAAGGAGATGTGGTATGATTGCCAATGTGACAACTATTCAGTTCAAATGAAGTGGATGTAAGCAATTATAGGCAACCGTACGGCCTTCAACAATGAGAAAAAACCATACCGTAAAGTCGGCTATAAAAAGCCCTGACATGAAAAATATGAAAATATTCAATTAAGAAAACTAACGGCCTAATTTATAACAAATCAATTTACGAGAAACAAATATGACAGACATGACGTTTATTGGTGTGGTTCATAAGTATTTCGTTTCTCGTTTTTTATATAGATAAGACCGTTGGTTTTCCTGTTTGAATTGTTTTACACTAATCATTTTAGGGCCCTTTATAGTTTGCTGTTCGGTGTGAACCAAGGCTCCGAATGGAAGGCCGTACTTTGACCTATAATAGTTTACTTTTTACACATTGGGACTTGGAATGATAGTTGTCTCATTGGCACTTATACCACATCTTCTTATTTATATGAACCAACGACAACCACTGAACTACAGGCTCCTGACTTGTGGCAGACACAAAAAGAATGTGGCGGGGTAACCCGGTTAAACATGTTTGTGAGCGCTCAACTCTCCCCTAACCTGGGACAGTGGTGTTACACCACAACATAAGAACAAACTATAAAAATCAGTTGAAAAAGGCTTAACTCATCAGATCGACATACCCCCATATGAAATATACAGGGTCTCCACGCAGTCGTTTTTAACCAATCATTTTCCTAGAAATGTATAGGAGGTAAGATAATTATAAATACACATAGCCTCCAGTGCATACCGTTTATGTACTATTGTTTTACTTTTATTAAAGGAGATTTTATACAAGGCACTAGACGGGATACATACGGGCACTTAACAATTGTGAACAATCCTGACAGAACAATATCAGTATTAGAACCACGTGACTCTGGTGGATGTCAGAATCAAATAAAATCTACTGTCATGAAAACATCAACACAGAAATCTTGTATTGTTGCTGTAAATGCTGGATTCTTTGACCCCAGACCAGGCAATGTTTGTTTAGGTATGATTAGATTTGAGAGTCGAGATGAGGTTTACAGAAAAGAAAATAATTGGGCAAAAAAATTAAGAATACGGAAAAATGGGCCAAAAAATAAAGAACTAATAGGATGCTTAAATATAAAATAGAGTATAAAAGGGCAAACAAAATAACTAAGAAATAATGAAAAATGACTGAAAATGATTTAAGATTACAGAGATTACAGATATTCCTCGTGAAAAGGAAAAATTAATCACTATGAGAGCCTGAAATATTCGAATGAATCCGACAGCAAATACGCAAAGATGCTACCAATTATTACAAAATTTTACACGATTTTGAGTTTAGAAAAAATTATGCTTCCACAAAAAACTTTGCCCTATAACAAAAGTAGTTGTAGGACCACAACAAGGCAACATCAACATAGTATCATAAAAATAAGAAGATGTGGTATGATTGCCAATGAGACAACTCTCCACAAGAGACCAAATGACACAGAAATCAACAACTCATGAATATTCAGTATTTGAGTGCAATTAATTAACGCTATTTGCATGATGAATAGGAGTTTACCCTTTTAACAAATATCGGCGAAGATTCTGTAATAGTTATACACCGAGGGAAAGGGGTGGTGAATTAATATCAGTCCACTAAATCTTCATCGTTTTAAGTTAAACTTTTTTCAGGTAACATAATTAGCGACGGAAGAGTGGTTATGGAGTCGCAAGGAGTACAGAACGTTCATTTTGGAATAACAAATGATGGATCTTTACACTTTGGGTAATTTTTATCATAAAAAGACGCAATTTTGCATTGATAACATATATATACATTTATTTCCACTATATGATTTCAAATTAAGTGATATGACTGTACAAAAATCTTTTGAAGAATGTTTTGTGTTATTGATAATTGAACTTTATATTCATTTATTTTCGGATTTTTTTTCTTCTTTAAATTTTTTTCTAACAATCTATTTATGTTACTTCATTTATACATCTGTCACCGTCCTTAACAATTTGGGTATAATTGCCTCAAGGGTGACGACATACACTCAAAGAAAAGAAGTTCATGAGAGGACATGTTTTAACTGTAGCTCTACTATTGAAGATGAACTTCATGTCATTTTGAAATGCCCATTATATGTAGATTTAAGACAAATCATGATACACGAAGCTATACGTTTTAATCAACGTTTTAACCTACTATCAGATAGTGAAAAATTTATATTTATATGAGAATGTTGCTACTGTAGTTACCAAAACCTGCAACAACATTTTATTGAAAAGAAAACATATTTTATTTCACTAGTTTTAAAAGAAACAAAATGTTTTGCATTTATGTAGTATGGACATTGTAAATTTCAAATGTAAATGTGTAAAAGTGTTCATATATATAAATAAGAAGATGTGGTATGAGTGCCAATGAGAAAACTCTCCATCCAAGTCACAATGTATAAAAAGTTAACAATTATAGGTCAAAGTACGGCCTTCAACACGGAGCCTTGGCTCACACCGAACAGCAAGCTATAAAGGGCCCCACAATAACTAGTGTAAAACAATTCAAACAGGAAAACCACCAGTTTAATCAATATAAAAAACGAGAAACACTTATGAACCACACCAACAACGACATCCACTGAACAACAGGCTCCTGACTTAGGACAGGTGCATAAAATGCAGCGGATTTAACCGTTTTAACAGGCGCCAACCTTCACCCTAACCCGAGACAGTAGTGTAACATTACAACATAAAAAGACACACTATAAAATATCAATTGAAATGGCTTAACTCGATCAAAAAGACATTTAAACAAAGACAATTAAACATACACTGAACAAATAAGTTTGATCTATGACACAATATAAATACAATATTAATAAAAAAAAGATGTAGGAACTGTGTCAAAAAGACAACTCTAACCTGGGACAAAATGGCATTAAATAAAACAACGTACACAGGTAAATTTAGATATACTAATTTTGATTGATTGATTGTTGGTTGCTTAACGTCCTGTGGCAAATATTTCATGCATATTCAGGACGAGAACAAATTAACAATAAATACAATAGGTAGGTTCTGTTATAGAGGCATCCGGGATTAAGGTCGGAGAAATTTAGACTGCCGCGGGAAATGAGTGTATATTGTATATGGACAGAAATTTAGCCTTGCAACAGGTCACCTACGGAGCCCTCTAAGGTTCTTAACGTGCAAAGAGCGTGGCACTCTCTTTACACGAGGCACCGGATTTAACGTCCCCATTCTGACCGGACGTGGCTGCAAATTTGCAAAAAAAAGACAAATTGAAAGAGTTGGTATTACTTTGTTTCATTAAAAAGATTGGCGAACGTAGATACAAGTATCTTGTCTTGGGGAGGGATAAATCCTACTTTGTAAAGAATCACTCTGATTCAAACAAAACAATCTCTGAAACTGACATTATCAAGATGCTTGATTTCTTGATTGACAACATATTTGTTACGTTTGGAGGACGTGTTTTTCAACAGACTGTCGGAATTCCAATGGGAACCAATTGTGCCCCTCTTCTTGCCGACTTGTTTCTTTATTATTATGAGGCTGACTTCATACAGGAACTTCTTAGGAAGAAAGATAAGAAGTTAGCAATATCCTCTAACTCTACGTTCCGCTATATAGATGATGTTCTCTCACTAAATAATACAAAATTTGGTGACTATGTTGAACGGATCTATCCCATCGAACTAGAGATAAAGGATACTACATATACAGTTAAGTCTGCCTCATATCTTGACTTACATCTAGAAATTGACAATGAGGGTCGGTTGAAAACAAAACTTTAGGACAAAAGAGATGATTTCAGCTTCCCAATTGTGAACTTTCCATTTCTATGTAGCAACATTCCAGCAGCGCCTGCATACGGAGTATATATCTCCCAATTGATACAATATTCCCGGGCTTGTGTTTCCTATCATGATTTCCTTGATAGAGGATTGCTGCTCACAAGGAAGCTATTAAACCAAGAGTTCCAAATGGTGAAGTTGAAATCATCCCTTCGTAAATTTTACGGACGCCATCACGAGTTTGTTGACCGTTATGGAATAACCGTTTCACAGATGATATCGGATATGTTCCTTATGCCGTAACTACAATACCCTTCCCTTTTCACGAATGTGACTTACCGAATTAGACTATTTACCGGATTTGTAATAACATAAGCAACACGACGGGTGCCACATGTGGAGCAGGATCTGCTTACCCTTCCGGAGTACCTGAGATCACCCCAGTTTTTGGTGGGGTTCGTGTTGCTAAGTCTTTAGTTTTCTATGTTGTGTCATCTGTACTATTATTTGTCTGTTTGTCTTTTTATTTTTGGCCATAGCGTTGTCAGTTTGTTTTCGATCTATGAGTTTGACTGTCCCTCTGGTATCTTTCGTCCCTCTTTTGTACATCCCATACTTCTATTCCTCAGTCACCCTTCGGGGGTATAATAATTTTGTTGTTAGGAGTGTACGAAATACATTTTTTACGAAATTGATGATTTTGTTGTTCACAGTACGAGTACAGAAGTGAAAATTTATCGTCATACTAAATACTTATCAAAGGTGGTACATATTAAAAATGGTGAGACGAGATATAACACAAAATAAGTAAACATTGAATTACAGAAAAGCATTACAAATTGTGTCAACAGGTCAAATTAACAAGAAAGTACGATTTGAGAGTACTCGCAGTTACTGAAAGCTAGTAAAAAGCCAAAAACAATTAATAAATAAAAAATCATGCATCAGAGACTAAAATCAATTAAAACACATCCTAGGGATTTAGTGGTTTTAACGCCATGGACAGTCAAAGAAGACATGACTTGTGCAATGCCAAAAAAAAAGAGTATCGACAGGTAGTAGGATAGTTAGGAATTAACCTTATAAAAATATGTATCATGTTATATATAGATAAAGCAATCTCTAAATAGAAAATAAACGTGGATGTGTATTTATACATCCCAAAAACCATTCGAAAAGAATACAAATTTAGTTATGTTTTAATTTGTTGATGACAAAATCGATGTTAGTGGCAATGTTATCAATATTCAAAGATCTTATTACAACATTAATAAGATAACCTTCACTGATAAGTCTGTTCGATGAGTTTACACGTATCACATAGTGATTTCCGCGCTTTTAGTAAAATATCACCGTAAAAATTGGAATGTGCAATGCCGTTTTTAATAAGTTTTCTTATGTACAGTCAAATTTACTAAACAAATCGTTGTATCTATGAGAGAATTTAGTAAATGTATATGTATGTATTGTGTCTTAAAAGTCTCTCATAAATCTCTCTAAGAAATAATGCATAAATTGCAAATGTTTTGACTGTTTTATGTGTTATTCTGTGAATCTTATTTTATGTTTGTATGTGGTAAGACTACAAGAAATTTTTGAATCTAAATCTGAATTTGTACCTTTTTTCAGAAGACACCTATTTTTATCAGTCATCTAAACGCGACCACTTCCGTTCCAGCGGATTCACTCAATGAATGCCAATAGATATTTTTGTTAAAAAACAACCGTATAAATTAAAACAATATGACGATCAATCGATCGCAAATCATGAAGCATATTTATTCATTCTATACACCTTTAATGGTCTTTTGCCTGTACAAGATAAGGTTTTCTGTATTTTGTAGATATTTGTCAGAAACAGAAATAGCAGACAACAATTATAAGCAGTTGATTGGTGGTGTATTTTGGTTGGTACGCGACGGACAACATTACCTTAAAGAGAGTATAAATATAGAATGTCAAACTGAAGAACAGGCAGGTCTGTCAAATAAAAGGAGATGTGAAGTATACACGAATGAGACAGTAACAAAACTAAACAATATTTCTAGTGGTCAACATACAGTCTTTAACAAACGATATAAAATTGAGAATGGAAATGGGGAATATGTCAAAGAGACAACAACCCGACCAAAGAGCAGACAACTATATATCGAGCTCTTTAACAGGCGCATGAAGTTTTGGCGGGATCTTAATTGCTTTTTTTCTCATTGGGGGGTTTTGATCCCGGATCCCGCTTATCGTTTTGTCAGAATCCCGTATCCCGCTTATCATTACAATAATAACGCTTGTAATTTCACATGTCCCGCCCGACTTCGTTTCCCGTTTTCACGCAAAAATAATTTTACTTTCACGTGTCACGCTGAAGAAAAATCGGCAAATCCCGCGTCACGCTTATACCCCAATGAGACCCACTACATGTATAGAGTTCCCAGTGTGAAACTGGATATCCAAATTTAGAAAAGGACAATTGTTGTTGTTTATATTTGAGATGCATTTAGAGTAAGTTCCCTTGAGTAAATTTCAGCTGTTCAGTCATATAAAAATGTATATGATCGCTAAGGAAAGTATATGTGAAATTAGTGTTATTAACACTATATACCAGTATTTAACGTTGATCTTTTCACCGTAATACACCATTTGACTGTCGAAAATTTCATTTTATCGTGCCGCGTTTGTATACTTTATTTCCGATGCAAACTCTGTTCAGAATAATTCTCTTGAAATAACTCTCTGTATATATGACAGAAATCATGGAAATGTATGCCAAAACGATACTATCAGCAAGATCAGCTATTGGTCATGATAAGGAAGGACGCATTCTGTTAATGCAAATTGATGGACTCAACGAACATAAAGGGTAATATATATTCGTATTAAATGTTTTTTGTATAATTATTTACTTAAGCTTGCTTAAGGAATGACTGTAAATTTTTTTTTGTATCTGTTCGAAATAACCTCAAAAATGTGGTGCACATTTTTAAATAAGAGGCTACGCGGGTTATTCGGTGTGCACAACATTTTCGGTGTTATTTCTTCATAGACAGAAAAAATATTACAATCATTCCTTATAATTTAATTCTAAATTCCATTTTTAAGGAGTAAATCATGAAAAAAAAAACGTTGATGACGTAACGGTTACATGACAAAATTATGTTTATGAGCTGATAGACATAAAACTTTCCACCAATCAGAAGACGTGATACATCCAAAATTGAATTATTCTAATAGAACTTTATACAATTTAGAAAAAAAATACTGTATACACATTACCAGTAGGGAATTTACGAAAGATAATCCTTGTAACGTTCAATGGTCTTTTATGGAATGTCTACCAAGACGCCGCAACGTACTCACAATAGCAGAGATTGCTTATCCCGAATACATCTTCTTTATTACATAGAATGCACAACTTCAACAAACGTATGCACTATAATGTTTTGGCCTTCAAAACATTCTAATTTCCTAATTAAATAATATCTTTTACATTCAATGCATAAGGACATTCAATAATGATATAAATGGGTCTGTCTTTAATTCGTCGTTATTTTCTATATCTTAATTATTTTTTTCCACATTTTTACCAGGGATTTCAATCTTTGCATTTTGCTATTGCTAGAGATTTTAGTACATTCATTATAAACCCTTCTTTACTAACGATAATTGGCTTGAATTAAATATATTTTATCCATTCAATGGATTTTATCTAACAATGGCCAGGCGTCTAAAATCACGTGCTATTTTGCTATGCATAGCGTCTTTACGAAAATGATGAAACATAAACTAGTTTCGATCATCCAGACTTTCCCTATACCATATAAAGAGTACGTAATGTTCACAGTAAGAAAGACAACTCTGGTGTAACGACACCAAACATAAACGTGTAGTACCAGTTTCAGTGCGCATGTCACGATTTTCTAGAATAGTCTTCAACTACAATCAATAACAAAAGTATGTTATTATATGATTTTTTACTGCTTTCATGACGAAATACTAAATATTTCATGCAAATAAATTTCATTTGACAAAGAGGCACTCATTGAAGAAAATTTAACAACGAATTATTGCTCTAAAATTAGGTTTAAAATTTGGACTTAACGTATATTCTCGTTCGATATTTACAAGTATGTCTTCTAATAGCTCACTACTGTCTAAGGATTACCAATTTCAGAGCGCATGACAAGTACTTGGAAAGACTTTCACCAAGTTCGTTTGAGATAAAAAAAAAAAAACAAAACAAAACAAAACAAAAAAACAACAAAAAAACCAAAGAGACAAACGTTTAACACCTTCGATATCATCGAATTCAAAAGGGCCTCACATTAATTTTGTCAGGTAAAATTGTATTATCTAAATCATACTAGTACGAACACTAAATACTAGTTGGATTGTTACTGTTGGAATAAACAGGCCACCAGAATTTACATTTAACCAGTGGAAGTGTTCACATTAAAAAATGTAAGGCTATGGTAGCATATACTACCACTGATACAAATTCCATGAGCATACGTATTTCTATTTGATAATTGTTTTATTATACCTATGGTTGCAGCTCAATGATTGAGGCAACACATTGTGGTTTGATGCTGTGATCGGAATTATATGTTTATAAAAGTCCTTGAATTGATAATTTCACGTAAACTTGTGTACTGAGGAAGCTGTGCAAGATGTCGACTTTTATCAATAAGTAAAGAAGAAAAACGCATGCGGATAAATGCCAAAGTGTTTTTAGATATATTTGTACATGTGACAGACATGCCATCTAGCTTCCAATTAAAGTTTACACTTATTTAATATTTTATAAGGCATAACAAAATTGGAGAAGGTACTAAAAAATGGAAAAATAAACACTTTATAAATTTCAAATACCGCAGACCTTTTCTGGATTTATCTTCACCAGGAACGCTCAAAGCCGAAATATTTGAAAGAAAAGGATGTATAAGAATCGAAACAGTTGAATTACTTTATGACCACAAAGAACAAAATAATAATAGTCAAATCCATCTAAGGTAAAGTTTGCTTGAGGGAGTTGAAAACTTAGTTTCTTAATAATTCATAAACTTATAAACAGACAACTTAAGAAAGGTTTGTTATAAATCATGTTAGTACCAAAGAACTAATGACTAAGCTGGTGATACCCTCTGGGACTGATAGTCCACCAGCAGCGGTAACGAACCAGCGCTGCAAAAAAGGGAAACGACACTTTATAAATTTCATGCATCTGAATGCATTCTGGATTTACGTGAAAGACAGACACTACCATGGCAATAAAAAATAACGGACAAACAAAGTGCCACAAAACACTACACATAAAACTAAAGATTGCGCAATATGAACCGAGGCAACTCCAGAGCGGCTTCATCACTAGAGTCACCCGTCGAGCTACTTCTGATAAAATTTTACGAAACATATCCTGTGATATGGCATTAACTTTTCATTCTTCCAAGGCAAGACAATGAATTAGTATTACGGCTTGAGAAAAAGTATATTTTCAAACGTGTCATTAATGAATTACTTACCTTGGGTAGTGTTTAAAAATTCAGCATCATCTGAATAAAAACGACCAACATTTCACAATAAGAGTTTAAACATAGCAATTAAGAGGTCACCATACAACTTTCAACGATGGACCATCTCATAACTTCGTGACAAGCTCTACATGAAGTCTATTAAAGTATCAGATAAACTGAGCACAGTTTCAAAGGATTTGACATAGACATAAGCATGCCTATTTTATACATTGTTTATATAAACATATGACAGATAAAATAGTTCTGTAAATTCTGTTCAAATGTCCCTAATTATTCCAATTAAGAGCAAATGATACAGAAAACATGCAAAGCAAGAATAAATCAAGGGAAAAGCACTTCATTCATTTTTTTACAGCGACGACAAACACAAACAGTATGCATGTAAGTACCTATATATGTTGATAATGATATTTTGTTTTTCTTCACTCGATCATCATGGGTTAATTCAAAACTAAGAAACGAGAGTAGTAATAATTTACAATATTGAAATACAGATTAACAGAATCTCTTTATATGAAATCCACCTATGTCCAAATCATCCAACATTAAATAATGCCGTTACATGAGTATGAGCGAACCTGATGTTTTTTGTATCTGAAATAACACACGGATGTTCACCTTTTTATAGTTATGTGTATAATTCTTCTACTAAAAGAGGTATACTCTGAACTCAAAACCTACTCCTGCATGGTTATGAGGAAGAAAGACTGAACATGTCATTGGACAAGTTCTACGGTCGTCATTTTGTATTGTTTGATTGTTGAAGTGTCTCAATTTCTCAACTTAATAGTGTCATTTCAAGTCTTTCATAGTTCTCACAAATTTCCTATGTCTATTTGGCATTCTATTTGTGTTGTAGAAATCTTTGCTGTGAAAGTTACTACAGGCCGTGACTGTAGATGCATGCATGACAGAATATAATTACCCTATGGACCAACTGGATTCACTCCAATTTGAGTTAATAAGATTTCACGTTTTGTCACTCCAAACTTTGTCTGTATTGAACCTAACCTTATGAGACTTGTACTTAAAGACTTTGGGGGCATGGATAAGTTTTCAAAATAGAGACAAATGGACCAACAAAAAAGAATCAAGAATAGTGGGCTGAATATATAAAGAATGGAAAATGATGGGGAACTAAAATAAAGAAAGTAGAAAAAAATTCCTAAAATTCAAAGACAACAAAGTTGAAGACCTCCCCCCTTCCCAATTATCAAGACTCCATCGTTATAGTAATGTTACTGAATCCAACTTATATTGTCAGGATATCGTTGTTTGTCAATTTGAAATTAGTGATGGTTACAAGGTAATGGTTTTAGTCTTTGTATAATATACAGAGTCAATATTGGTCAGCAAAGGTTATCGTATCACACGTTTTACTATTCTTGCAGCGTAATGTTTATATAATGTGTTAACAGCAAATACCACAATGTGCCTACACTTCACACACAACTAAAAAGTTAAATCACAAAAATACTGAACTCAGAGGAAAATCCAAAACGGAAAGTCCCTAATCAAATGGCAAAATCAAAAGCACAAACACATCAAACGAATGGACAACTTAAGGTAAACCTTTGTGGTCTAGTAGTAGCATGATCGGCCGAGTCGAACCAAAGACTTTAAATGTGGTATTTTCTGCTTCTCTAAGCACGAAGCATTAAAACAGGAGCAAAGACTGATCGGCTTGGAGTCAGAAACATGAGTCCATGTTAAGTAATGTATCTTCTTTTAATCAGGGTTTATCAGGTTTAACCAGGTTTAATCCACCATTTTCTACATAAGGAAATGCCTGTTCCAAGTCAGGAATATGACAGTTGTTTTCCATTCGTTTGATGTGTTTGAGCTTTTGATTTTGCCATTTGCTAAAGGAGTTTCTCTTGAAGTTTGGTATTTTTGTTGTTTTACTTTTTTCCGCGAACTGTTATCACAGGGACTATCACGTTATCAAATTCAACTAGTCGGTCTATCACACAACTGGATTCGTAATAAAATCATATCAACATGTTCTTATTTTGATATGCAAGTATTATTTTAAACTTGAAGTTAAACACCAGTTCATCAATTCATTCTTCATCATCACATGGCACATATTACACATCAATCCATTCTTCATCATCACATGACACATATTACACATCAATCCATTCTTCATCATCACATGACACATATTACACATCAATCCATTCTTCATCATCACATGACACATATTCCATATCAATCCATTCTTTATCATCACATGACACATATTACACATCAATCCATTCTTCATCGTCACATGACACATATTACACATCAGTACAAGACATCCACTGAATTTTAAATTTATACTGAACTGACTGTAATTTGTTAATAATTGAGAAAACAAATGAGACTAAATTATTACGAACCAACCATCGTCTTTCCTCTTTTTAAATACCACAAAATTTCAATTAAAATAACAGTGTTTTAGGGATGGAGTCGCAATGCTAACACACGAAAAGTTTGAAATAAAATGCTTGATATAAAAGATAATTTCATTTTATAAAAACTAACTGTTCATAAATATATGCAAAAAATCTCTCGAAAGACTTAATGTTTAATGTTTTCTACCAACAGCTAGAGATGGCCTAAGCCAGAATTACTCAACTTTTTGAAACTATTAGGTTTCCAATGCTCTTCAACTCCGTAACTGATTTGACCTTTTAACTATTTTTATTTGAGAAACCGTGACGAGTCGCATGTAGACGAAATTTTCGTCTGGTGTGCTAAATTAAAAGCTTTGAAGTCTGGTGTCTTTGATGATGTTATACAACTGCAGGTGGACGTAAGAAAACTCTATCGTCGAACATTAAGACACCCCAGCTACCTTTATACAGATGTTTCCTTAATAAAGTTTATCAATTACGGTTGACAAAAGGCTGGAAAGCCCCCCCCCCCCCAAAAAAAAAAATAAAATAAAAAAAAAAATAAAATAAAATAAATTAAAGGCACAAAAAAAAAAAAAAAAATAAACAATTATCAAATATATTTAAAATAAAATTCTTAAACACAATATACAATATCGTCGTAAGTCTGTCGGATTAGTTTCAGTACAATTAAGCTATATAATGCCGACTTTGTATAACATTGCAATTCATATTAAAGAATGCCCTTTACTATTTTACTGATATGTTTGTAATTTGGAAATGAATGTGTTTGACTTTACTTTACTTATAAGAATAATTTTATAGAAATACCCTAATTATGTAACATTTCATATTTTTTTATTTGATTGCAGAATGACTCTTTATGAATTTGCCGACTTACTTCTCGATTATGGATTCGTACAAGCAATTAACCTGGACGGAGGAGGATCTACAACATTAATTATCAATGGAACATTAGTTAATCATCCAACAGATAAATGGTAATTATCTTTCTCTACTTCGTACATGTCTGCAATTTAACAAACCATTCACTTACATAAAAAATCAATCACCGTGTTTGTAAGACTACATACAACCTGAGTTCAAATGATATCATTACATTAAAAACATCCTTTAAGAAGTAAGCTTTCATTTCTCATTCTTTATGTTTTGACAGATTGCAGAATGAAAGCAATAGTCAAAATGTAAATTAAAGAATAGAGTTCTAAGATACTTTAATGACACATCAGTTAATTGAACAAGAAGGCCAACGTGAAAACAAATATATAACATTTATTACAAAGAGACAAATCGTATGTTGACTGATATATATATAAAGGCCAACGAAAGGTTTTCCTTTTACTTACGAAAATACGGGTTTTATGAGTAACTATCTGTGTATTCAAGATGTGACAAAATCATTTAGAATACAGTAGCATTAATCACGATTTGTTCATTAATTCCTACTTGTATGATTTAAATCAAGGCACCAAAAGCAGCCATTAAGGTGGTATCAAATCCTTTGACTAAAATTAATTTGGCTCGTTTAATTTTAATAAAATTATGACAAAATATTTACTTTGACCCTATGACAAAAGTATAAAAATTTCAACAAACTTGAATCACACACTTTATCGGAAAAATTTCATGGGATATAGAGCAGTTTGACACTAATTTTGATCATTAAGAAGCTTAATATTTCCTAAACAATAGAACGCGATTAAAACATTCAGACGATTTTTACAGAATTATCTCCCTGTAGTGTTATGAACCATCTTAAGTAAAACAAAACATACAGTCCTTTTAAAATAAAAAGTTTCAAGTATTCAATTTTTTTGAATACTAAGTAACCGTCATTGAATCAAATTTCCAATTGTTATACAATGGGAAGGGGGGGGGGGATTACTTTACACATTTATGGTAGAGAGGGATTGAAACTAGATTTTTAAAATGGAAGAAACCTCAATGAACATTCGTAACAGTTAATGTACATCATGTTCCTCATACCATGTTCCTGTCGTAAGAGAACTCAGTATGCCCTACTTAAGTCTCTTCGTGCAAAAATCTCTAATTTTGAAAGTCGGTAATGATATAAATGGTACTTTTGTACTGCACCAGATGCGCATTTTGACATTTAGTATCTCTTCAGTGATGCTTGAGGCCAAAATATTTGAAAATGCATAACCTAATACAAACGTTGAAAAGCTGATCAACCAAAAGGACTTAAAGTATAGCCAAAACCGGAGACTTTAAATTTGATTACATTATTATATAAAAGGGTGTTTGATTAGGTGCCAGCTGTAATCTGTAGAGAAATCATATTTATTGACTTCCGAATATGTCTTAAGTATGAATGTGTAAATAATGTTCAAGCACAACTCTGATCGAGTAAAATGGTATTGTGAACCAATGGAAGGTAATGAAAAATTCCGATAATTTGAGATATAACCATACGTGTTAGTTGACAGTCGATCCGAATAAAATATGTAAACAATGTTCCTTTTCTTTCTAGTGAGAATGATACCAGATTTACATGTGCAAGAAAAGTTTCTACAATTTTGTGTGTTCATAGTGCCAATTCTACAAGATCAGCAGAAAATGTTAAATCCGAGTGTGATTTTAGAACAATTCCAAATATATCCGAACACTGTAAAAGTAGTGCTATTGGTTCAAAAAATATCAAACAGGAGGTGCAGTGTGACAGTGATAATCAGTGAAAAAAAAAACCAAAAGAACCTTAACTTTAATAAAAAGCTGTGGAAAGACTCATGTTTTGCTTTCAGGTACTATTTGAATAATAATTCAGTTTGCTGGCTCTTGTTGTTCAAGCACATTTTCGTTTAGATAGAAACATATGTGTAGAAATTGAATTGAGAGCAATTCTATTTTTCTGGCAGATTTTTTGTTTACTTTAATCTTATAGTGTAAGCGTTGTTTCCATGTTATCAGATGTCATCTGTTCGTAGTTTAGTACCAAAACCAATGATGAGAAACAAAAAAAGAACATTAAATGCACTATTTATATATATATTGAGCAATTTTCTTTCAATTAGCAAATAGGTGTTAAAATTATATCATTATAATGCGTAAGTACAAATGGACTGAATCCCAAGCCCGATTTCTTTAGTGACGTCCATTTCCTGGCTGGTTTTGACCTAATTTTGAGTGAGTGCTCTTCGTCGTTCAATTCTGTTTCCTTTCGAAAATCTGGTTTCTAGCACCATATACGAAAACGAAAGGTTTCAAGATGGATATACAATGTATTTTGTGATATAAAATGCCCAAAAAGATATTAGCTATATTCTAAAGTTATCTTTGCAATGCTCAGGTATCTTATACTTTTATATGACTGTCAAATACGATAGTTCGAGACCGTCTGAAATTCCAATGTTTCGTTTCTATATGACGTCAGAAACGAAGAACACATTTGGCTTGGATCACAAATGAAAAAGTCATTAACTCCTTTTCTCGCGATTCAATTATAACAGACACAGGTTCTTCTACTTCACCTTCTTTCATAACCTTATATCTCAACTATTGAAAGAAAGAAATGACGATGACATTATATACATTTATATGTTCAATACGTTGGTTCTAGGACGTCTGAAGAATGTTTTTTTTATTTTTTTCGTCATGACGTCAGATAGGATAACTGGAAATTAAATGCGACGTTTCTTAATGATGTCAGAATGAAGAACACATTTTGCCTCGAATAACCTGATAAAAGAATCAAAATTGTCCTTTACCCATCATCATATCTTGACTATCGACCAAGAGGCAGTGGTGACATTATATATTATCCGCCTATCCGCCTCTTTGGTGACAATTTGAAAACAGTACACTTACAAGAGTAAGATTATTGTAACATGTATACCGTGTGTGCTAGTCTGTATACCATCAATTCAGAAATTATTCCGTGCATTAAATTGCGATTGTTGAACAATCGACAAAAATACGAGTTTAATTATTGTCATATCAGGAAACTTCATTCTAGAATATTATCAAATTTTAAATGGCTAGTTTTTATTTTAATTTGTGATATCTATATCTATTCGCAATAATAAACACATCGCAAAAATTTTTTTAATCTACAGCACTTTGAACATTAATGTTGTCAATTGATCAAATTATAAGAGAAATATTAAATTAATATGTACAATGATGTAGTCCGTGATATTTTATAACGTACTAATTGTTAAATAAGTGACGTATTGGTCCAATGGGCCGAGTGCAACATTGACTATACACACTTTGTAATTGTGTTATATATTCATTTAAGCATGTCCATAAGCCCTATAAAAAAAAACGAATTACCTAGTTACCTACTTTCTCTTACAAAAATCTCACAAGGTACCAATCTAAGAATATTCGCAGTTACTGAAAGCTAGTTTAAATCTAAATCAATCTAGCAAATATACTATGTTTTCTTCGACTGAAATGTTAATCAATACACATCCAATGGAATTGGTGTAAAGCCGCGTCATAAACAGTCTGAGAAACGCATGACCTTGTGAAATATCAAATATAAGTGTCTATAGGATGTGGGACTTATAATGGTCATAACTGTAAAGGCATACATATTAAGTTATTTTTCATTTATCAAAACAAAACGATGTTAGATGTAAATTGTTCTATCTTTATCTAAGGACCAATAAGTCTACATGAATCGTATCTAAATTTTTGGAATCTATAAACAACACCACCACAGTAATTACTTTTGGTAAACAAATACAGGTAAAGCCAAACTTTAACATCTTTCTATCTATGAAAACAATTTTGGCAATATAACGGAACTATAAACACCGTTCATACAAGTGGGTTGTTTAGCTAGCCATAAAACCAGGTTTAACCCATTATTTTCTTAGGAAAATGCCTGGAAAAAGTCAAGAATATGGCAATTGTTTGCCATTCGTTCCGTTGGTTGATAACGTCTAACGTCTGGTGTTGTCATTTTTTATGGATAAACCCTTTTTGAATTTACCTTAGAGTGCGGTAGTTTTTTTTTATAAAACTTTTGTAGTTTCTTTAATAATAATAAAACTGAGTACAAATGTACCGTAAATTTTGAAATCAATTATCGTCTGAATTTCTGTGAAATCAAACATCATTTGAAACAATAATCCTAAATTTTCTGGTCAATTATATTTGTAGTGGATATGATTGTAACGTGATTTGATTGACCACGTGATCAGAATTATGGCTCATATTTTATAATCACATATAATTATCATTCTAACTTAAGTATAAGATTCGACTTAACTTCTGTCATCTACAAAGTAATTTTTTGTGATATACTAGCTAAAAGTAAGACATACATTGTATTCATATTTATTGCCGAAGTTGTGTTTACGACAAAGTTTTATTCATACAATAAGAAATGCTCTATGTATTAATAGTATGTGTTTTTGCATTAATGTTTAACATTTTATCACTTGTCGCATTAGCAAAATCAACAAATTTGAAAAATTCGATATTTAAAAGATTGGTGGTAAACCTTAGTATTAGTGATATAGTTTTTCTCCTGGAAGTTATTCTATTTTTGTTGGTTGAAGAATTTCAGAACGGTTCAAGATCATTCAATGTTGCATGTATGATTGTGATAAAGTTTACAGGAGGAACCTACTTGTTTTCACTTTATCAATGCTTTCTGATTTGCTTGGAACGTCTTAATGCAACTTTTATCACCAAACATATTGTTATACAACACCTGACGTCAAATACAGGAATTATGTTCGCGTTCATTGCCTTCCATTCAATAGCAGTGCTTCAAATTAGTATTGAAGTATCGACAATAACACGTGACACTCAGTGTAATATTGTCGCTTCAAGCGATATCGTTAGCCAAATACTTGTCAGCATACCTATCGCAATTATGTGCGTTGTTATCGTCCTGTTTTATGCCATTGTTTTAGTTAGAATTCTGAAAAAATTCTCAAAACATCACAGCCAGGCGGAATTTGCTAACAGTAACATTGCTGTCCAGATGAAACAGAAAGCACTTAAAACACTAAGTATCGTAATTTTGCTGTGTCTGATGGCCAACATGCCCCATGGTTTTATGGTCGTGTACTCGTTATGTTCGGGATCTAACGAAACAACTATGCTTTGGCTTGAGTACTGTAATTATATGGTTATGCTCAACCCGCTCTTTGACCCAGTTATATACATCTTTTGTTTGACAGATTTCCGCAAGCAGATTAAAAGAATGTTCTGTTGGAAAAAGAATTTGGTTCAACCACTCAATCTCGAAAGGTAGGCTGTTTCTCTCCCTTCCTTGCAACATACGGTTATCTGAGACACCCTTGTGTGTTTATATCTGTCAAAGCCGAATAGGATAGGGAAACAGTCTATCTCGAAACCATGCAAAGATAAATGGACACTTAAACGAAATGGACGTCAAACATTTATTTATAACCGAATCAATTTTGTCTGTAACGTCTGTGTGACATATATTTATCAAACACATTCAAATATTTAAAATATTTAAGGAGTTTCAATTACCCTCTTTGGAGTTGTACTTCTTAGAAAAAGGGAAAACTACTGGATTCGAGAAATTGGAACTGCGACACCATATATTGTTGCAATGACAAAATTGAGGGTATAGGTATTCTGTCTAGTCTTTCCTGTAGCTCGATGAATGTGATGAATATGACATACTTGTAAGAAGAAATAAATATCCTATTCTCTAGTATAACTTATGTTTTGACTAAGTTTTAAAGACACTTGTTCATATGAATTGACATAACTGTGACTGTAAATATTTTTATACTATTTTGTCAAATGATTTTTTATATTTTTTGCATTAAATTAAAGAGAAGCGAAATATATAAAAAAGGATATTCAAACTAATAAGTCGAAAACGAACTGATAATGCCATGGGAAATAACAAAAAACGACTTAAAGACAAAAAACCGTCTACAAAACACAACATAGAAAACTAAAGACTGAGCAACACGAACTCCTACGAAAACCGGAGGTTCTCTCAGATGCGCCAGGAGAGTAGGCAGATCCTGCTCCACATGTGACACCCGTCGTGTTGCTCGTGTAAGTACACAACAAGATAAGTGTGTTATATACTGAAAAGTGATTAATTTTTCAATTTTTAATCTTAATTTTCCGTCTGTTTTTGTTGTATTTCTCCTTATCGGTCAACATACATATAATTATTCGTAATCATTATACAAAAATTTTATTCAAAGCATTCAAATTGTTTTCTCAATAATTTGATGAAGCAATTTTTTAATTGATCATATATATATATACAAGTCTAAATTGAAAACAACGTTCAAACCTATGATTGCGTTGGATAAAAACCGCAATTTTTATACGTGTGCATGTAAAACAAATTTCTTGGTAGAGGTGTCTAAATACAGCACAAACAACATTTTCCAAAAGACCAAAAAAGTGAAAAGTATATTTTAACACATCGCATTTGACTAAAAGGTCGAACAACTGATATTCTTAAACCCTGCTGACTGCCATTGACGATTGCCAAATCAATTGATCACGAGATGTAACATGGATCTTAATTATTAATTTAATACCAAACAGAAAACAAAAAACTTGAGGAGAAGATGGTATACCGCAAACACGAGGTGCAAAAATTTGTACACCATATCCGGATTGCGACATTTAATGTCTCTTCAGTGATGTTAGGGATCGAAACGGTATTTGGAAGGTCATATAATTTACCTCAATCTAGGATAGACTCTTGAATTTTAAAGATTCAAAATAGGATGAACGGATCATATAAACTCGAAGGAAAATATAATACAAGCCCAAACGAAAAAATATAAACAAGTCTGAATTGAAAACAACGTTCAAACCTATGATTGTGTTGGATAAAAACCGCAATTTTTATACGTGTGTATGGCACGCCTGAACAACTTTAATAGATAGTCTTAGATTATCTCAG